TGTTAGATTGTTGGATTGGTATAAAAAGCAGAAAACACTTCTTTGGCAGTCACAAGTCAGATATTAACACATTCAAGTACTTATTAACAAAACAAAACCAGGCAACAATATTTACAGACACTTTTAGTTTCTAAACTACCGACTAGTTGTCTATAAAACGTAAGTCCACGACGGACGAAGACGAATGGCAATCGTGTGAGCTAAAATGCAATGGCTATGACAGCATAGGTTGACAAAACCCCGTTCTGAAACAAAGATATCTCTAACGACCTTAACGGTATAAACACTTTTCGATATAGGCCCATTGGGCCTCGTCTACTTGTATTTATGAAGAGTACGGAAATGTCATGAGGACTGAGGTAAACAACATTGTTCACAACTGAACAAAAGAAGCTGAAAATAAATCAAAAGTGTCGCGTACAAAGATAGCCATCGCAGTTCAAACTTAAATCGATATAGTTAGTACACTGTGCTCGCGATAATTGTTGGATTGTTTAACCGACTTCCGGCGATTGCTCAGGACCTCCCGTGAAGTAGTAAGTGCTGTATTCTTGCCAAGTGCAAACGTGTCACCAACAGTTGTTTTGTTTCGTGATTTATGTTCTCGCAACAAAATTAACAAAGGTGCCCGCGGCCAAAACTAAATATATATATATATATATTAGGAGAGGTTAAGATTTAGTTGTATTACATTTAGCGTCCTATTGCATGTAACAAATAATAAATGACGTTCCTCGATGTGTATTATGAAAGTGTGTATGCATGATTGTGACTGTTTATGAATGTATCTGCGGCCTTCCGATTGCGCGGATCTGATGGGTTTAGATATTTTTCTTATAAATCGTTTTGTTGTATTTTATTACATTTGTTTAAGTCGATTTTATTCGGTTAGACGTCCCATTTACCGCTAAGATTATTTGAGGTCGTGCTTCCTTGTGTTGTGTATGCGTGTGTGTGTGTAGGAGGCAGGGTATGTTTGCGCATTTGCCTACTTGTGCTAACGCGGATCTGATGCCGATTTATAATGCGATATCACCGAAATACCATGCCGAAAGTACCCAGCACGGCATTACGCCCGGTAACATCACACTGACAACGGTTGAACCAGTTGTTGACATTACCCTTAATGAGGATTGTTAAGGAGGTAATAACAAGTACCATTTTTAAGGACGTTGGTATGTTCCAGCCTTAGGACGACAGAACTCATTGCATTCCTCACCTGGACGGACGTTCAACAGTAAAGCCAAACATGAGGTGTTGACAAGCAAGGCACTAGGAAAAAAAGGAAGTAGGTGTAAAGTAGAAATATAAAAAAATCCCAAATATGTGAAAGATGTGGTCGCCGCACGGTCTGTCCGTCCGTATTTCCGTCCGTCCAATATGTTTCTCCGTGCCAAAACACATGACCCTAAGATAACTCCATGAATTTCGATGGATATATATAGGATGGTAAGGCGGTGAATTGCGTACTACAACCTATAGTCTACGTCACATTAATTTCAAAGGCAAAAGTCAAGGTCACAAGGTTGAAATTATTCCTGTCTCGGTGACCAATTCGGGGAGCATACTTTGTCGATGTCTCAGAGTTTCCTGTAATAATTTGTTACTAACTTTTATTTAAAACAAGTTTTTAACACACAAGGCAAGACGTATAATCAGTATCAACTATTTTTTTTATTAAACAGTACACTTAGAAAGTATTCAACAACATCGCAGCATTATCACAGCTTACTATACGTAATACGTTTCGACAACCTTTTTTGAACGTATGTCAATTCAAAGAAAACGAAAAATAACTGATCGTGCAAAATAGTGCATATAACATTTGAAACAGTGGGATATTTTGAGAAAATAATTCATTTGTGAATGGAACAAACTATGGGGCATACTACCAGGCAGATTGATCAATTAACACAGATTAACAAAAGAAGTTATACTTGTACGTTTATCAAACAGATAGTCCGCCTGTTTAAAACCTGATCATTTAAAAAAAACAATGGTTGAAATAGTTGTGTGTTTTTTATTTTATTTTGGCATGTCTTGGCCTTTAATATAACCTGTAATGTCAGTTATGAACTTCATTTTGAAATATTACAAATCACACTTTAAACAATCGAACTTCTACATGGATGATTAAACATTAGGTTACATCTAACGAAATGTGTTGAAGTGGACCTTTCAAAATCATCAACTGACAGGTACATTTACATGCACTTAAGACAATACAAGATACAAAAATATTCTCATAATATATTAATTGAACAAGTATATACATCGATGTAAAACAGAATGATTGTATTCTTTGCTGGTGCATTTAAAAATTAGTTGATTGTATCCTCGTATGCAATATATTAACAACAATAATTACACATCTACAAAAAACGTCAGAAACGGACGTTGATAATTACATTATTTACCAGGTATATAACACAAACAATCAATGACCATCACACAATTCAGTTAAGGATAACAACTGACATATTTCAAACTATGTAGTTTGCATGTTTTCACTGCATCGTGAACAAATTCATGCACTCCAACCCACTTCTTCCGAATCTTGTGCCATAACTCTGCAGATTTCTCTCCAACAACGATACCTTGTAAATTATTTAAGTTTATGATCTAATAACATAAATACGATTCACATATTACTGACATAAGCGCTATGATGTAGTTGCAAAAGATAAGTTACAATAAACCCATTCCTATAATAATGCAAGCGAAAAAAAAATCATCATTCAATTTTGTCTTATTTTAAGTATAGGTACAAAAGTGTATAATATCTAAACGCGAGATTTGCCAATTTGATAGAGATTTACCAGACGGATTGTTTCCCTATGAACTAGTGAAATATGTAAAGATTAACAGTTGTAGATTCATATGGAAACACAAGCATTCGATTATCATATCAATTGCGCTAAATAAGTGTCGAATAACAAAGACTACAATGTAGGTGTCTGTCACTATTTTTAGGTGCTGTTCGAAAACCCCATAAGGAAACAGGTCGATAGTCAATCGAAAATTGCATTAGCCTTCATGTTAAGTAAACTTGGTAAACAGATAGCGGACTTGCGTTGTCTTACCTGTAATAATTAATGGCCCCATCCTATACACTTTTATGACGCCATCTGATAACCAAATGGCAATATCCGGACCCCTGCAAGCTTGTCGTTTGACGGCAATCATCCAATAACAGAAAAGATTTGATGGAACTTCCTGTGCAGTAATGCATTTCCGGTATCAACGCATCATAGGCACCACTATCAATCAACTTACGATATCGACCCTAAATACTAATTCATATCCCGTGTTTGTTTAGCTGATTGGTATGACATTGGTATATTTAGTACTATCAAATAAATGGGTGTTAGAATAATCAAAACTAATTGTTTCAATCGCTTTTTCGTTCATGATCCGTCGTCTGCCAATTAAATGTTACTTTTATTTCTATTTCATAAAACGTACCGCATTGTCCTTTTTCCTATTAAATATCCATATTGGTTCGTAGGTGCTACTTTAACAGTTCAATGTTTTTATCGCTATTCCCATGGCCAAAAACCTGGTCACGTTCGATCAGGGAATCAAACCCAGGCCGTCTTGTTGAAAGGAGAGCGCGCTATCTTAACCATTTAGTCGCATTTATAAATACCCTCCGTGCATAGTAAATGGTTTCATTAAATAAGTATCGTTTAGTAGCAATTGTAAACATGGGAATAAGAAAAGCACGTAAAGAGTTTACAAACATCATGTGACTTCAACGATGAACTTTTAGTTAAAATATTGATCCTAGAGAAAAGTTTTTCCGGTTAGAATTATATAGTATAACGATTTTATTTACGATATGATATAATACAATTCATACATTTAGATAATGAAGCGTTAATTGTTTATATTCCGATACAAATGCATACTTTGAAGTTTAAATCGTTTAGACCATTACTGTTTCTAAAAGAAAAATCAGTATGAAAAAGAAGCATCTATCTGTACACATTGTAAATGCAGATTTATCTACTGTACATGTATTTTATAGCCATATATTTCATTTACGACTCATCAGTCGTACTAAAGGTCAACAAAATTATACATTCACGTGTTAAGTGTTGAGACCATATGTATAATACATCGAAAAGGAAAAGGGGCCTAGACAGACATTACAACGTTAAAAATTCAACTTTTGTAAAGTGTCAGAGAGTAATTTAGTTTCGGACTTTTTCACTCGCACCAGGTCAATTTCAGTACAGAAGGTATATCAAGAAGTTACGAAATGCATCTAAAACAAACTTGTTGTGATCGTGAATAGCATTTAGAAAACAGAATCGTCTCGAACAATTCAACTACTGTTTTGTTTTAGAAATCTGGCTATTACACAAACATTAACATATGCAACACATGTTCTGCTGTAATAAGCGTATCGTTGTAGGGACAGCATGTTCCTGTCAGTTCTTGATGCGTGATAACCTTAAATAAAGTGCTCAAATTGTTACTATTGAAATAATAATAAGTCCTAGCAGCAATTTACTAATACATTAGTTTGTAAGCAAGGGACAGATTCTTTATACCCACGTGTAAGCAAAACATGCCTGTACAAAATTCAAGTTCTATTCTTGTTTTATATCAAACCCAAAGGACTGTTTTTATTCATCAAAACAATATTGATTACATTTTAAGACAATGTCTATGCAACAAACCAACAAGCACCTCGCTAGTTGTTTATGATCTATCGATTAATAACCCATAGAACATAACTGTCAATGAACCGAAACCTTACATAGGAACTATAATTCATTAATGTAAGCTCTATTCATTCCAATTGCTATTGATTAAATACATCAGACAACAACTCACCTTAAACGATCTGTTCTGATTGCACTTTGTATGAATCTAAAAATAAAAATAAAAGTCTGCAACAGCAATGATATGTAGAAGTCGTGGCATTACATTTCTTTAAATATATATCGTCTGGTTCGGTAACGAATTGGAATAACCACACGAGTATCACATTAGTTGCTACAACAAGTACCATCACAGTGACCAGCTGAACCGGGGTTGTGGAATGGTGCATGTTCGGAGGAATCTTTTTCATTTATTATTTCGGCCATAGTCATTCCGTTCGACAATTGTTCAGTTTCTTCTCGATAAACTTCATTGTTGTTTCGTTGAACCAATGCTCTTCGCATGCAACATTTGCATCCCAAAGCTAAAGTTGACACGAATTCCTTACGAAATGTCTTACAGCACACTAGATACAACACAAAATTGATTGAAAAGTTCAGATAGTACATAGTCAGAAATACATATTGTAGACGACGATCTGTTTGAGTAGTAGTGTAATATTCACCTATGATATGTTCAATGATAACTTTTATACGTATTACATGGCTAGGCGTCTGTAAGACTAAGAATGCTACAGAAACTGACGTCAGAAGGCGTTTCACAACGTCTTGAGGATTATTCGATGATCGAGTCCGCTCTGTAGACTGTAGACGTCTGAGCCTAAGTTGACGCTTTGAAGCTTCCATAGCGGCACATATAATGAGGAACAATAATGTGATGATAATTATGAATGGAATCATCAAAGTCAGAATGGTATCGGCATACGTTAGACCTACTTCAAATGTTCTGTATTGTGGTAATGTCAAGCAGTAATGTTTGCCGTGAAACATTCTGACTCTTGTCGCCCATAATGGGAAATTGTACCCTACAATACCCATTACGAAAAGAAAACCTATCATACGTTTGGCTACTTTGGTCGTACAAAACGTGTTCACTTTCATTGGTTTACATATTCGTATGTAGTTTTCAAATGTTATGCAGACAACAAACGACACTGACATGAAACTTGACACATATGATACAAATACAGTTATCTGACACACCCCTTCCACGTGAAAAATACGAACGTCAACAAAATCCAGCCAAGCGATGAAAAGAGTAACAATGAATCCGGTGTCTGCGATTGAGCGGGCGGCAAGGTATAAACTACAAGATGTGTTTCGATGCTTAGAGCCGAGGAATATGGACGCTGACAGAACATTTCCTATGATACCAAATAATCCTATGACAGGCAAAGTGTACTGTCTCAAAAAGAAAAGAGCGTCTTTTGAATTGTCCGCTAAAATGAAGTCTGCTGCTACCTTCTGCATATCTGATGATTCGTTGTATGCGTTAAATATGTACATGCTTTCTTCCGAGGCGGTAATGTTGGGACTCTGGAACTGCGCTACGCCTGAGCGTTGGGCGTCGTCGTGTTCCAGTAAGTGTTGACTAGGAGCAGCGAGCATGGCTATTTAGCTTTGAGAGAGGTATTCCGTCATCGTGATGGATCGATAATTCGGTGGGTTGCTGTTGAATCTGTTACGGCTGCAATACATCTGGGAAGGAGAGAATAAACAATATTTACAGTTTAATCATAAACCCGCATTGGACTATAGAACCATCCTTAGCAAAGTTCATAATAAACAAAAACAAGCAAAATCATTCGCAATTAAAACGGGATTGTCATTTTAAACTTGTAAAACAAATGTGTAAAGTTGAACTGATCGATTGCAAAACAGTCATCAAACAACATGATTCCACCGCAACAATTCTGACAAAGTATATAAGGTAAAATCAGTGAACATCATCCTTGTGAGTGTTCGACAGAACAGTTGCGCCTTGAACCTGTGTTGGGTTCTATAAATGAATCCACAATCAGCACTGTACTCTTTAATCAATAATGTTATTCAAAATTGCCTTGTCATTGATGTCAACATTTACACGAGGGATTGGTTTGGTTTCATCTGGTTTGCCGCCCTTTCACAGCTTATAACATTTAAGGATGTGCCTCATGTATGTTATGTGTTTCTGTGGTGGAGAGTATGTTGGTGAAATTGCCTCCTTGTGATAGCACGGATCTGATGCCGACTTTTTAATGCTATTTCACTGAAATACCATGCACCCACCACAGTAGTACATCCGGTCACATTATACTGACAACGGGTTAACCAGTTGTTGCAATTACCCTTAATGCTAAAGGTCAAGCAGGAAATGACAACTACCATGTTTAAGGATAGTTTGTACCGACTTTAGGAAAGAACCAATTGCAACCCTCCCTTTGGCGAACGTTCAGCGCGTGCCAAATGGTGGGATTTTGCCAATTGACGCAACAGGAGACAAAAAGACAGATGTTGTAATGGGTGAAGCAAATTATTTTGGTCCTTTTTGTGTCCCCTAGTGGATTGGTTTAGTTGGGTTTAATAATGTTTATCGTCCTTTTAACAGCTAAGGTAATTTAAAGACGTGCCTCCATGTGTTTTATGTAAGCGGGCATAGCGTGCATGTGTGTATGTGTGCCGGAGACAGAGTATGTTGTTGTACTTGCCTCCTTGTGATAACACGGATCTGATGTAGACTGTGATAATACGGATCTGATGCAGCCTATCTCACTGAAACATCATGCCGAAGCCACAAAGCATAGCATTCCGCCCGGTCACATTATAATGATAACGGGTGAACCAGTTGTTGCCATTACCTTAAATGCTTAACGTTAAGCAGTGAATAACAGCTACCATTTTAACGGAAATTGGTGTGTATTAAAGCCCAACGTAAGGCATTGCCAAGCAAGGCGCTAGGCAATATAATGTTGGTAGAAGAAGAGATATTACAAAGTGCAAGGCATACAAACTAATCCCCAATTCTGCTTTGCAGGGGTTTTGCAAATGGACAACGGCCGAAGAGCGATTTTGAATACCCTAACCAACCATCATTGGGCTACAATCAGTGTTATTCAACGTCCTTGCTATAGTCAGTCAACACTTAATATACTACACCACAATATTTGTGTTGTGTGGTTGAGGCGGTAACAGTTATACTTCAATTTGATTTGGTTTTGTATTATTTAACAGCTGAAGACATTTAAGGGAATGCCTTTATTTTTTGTAAATAGTTGTAAACAAATATTTCCTTTAGATTTGACTTTTTGCATAACGCACATGTATTTGTGTATTGTATGAGTGTTTAGTGGAGACAGTATGCTAGTACATTTTCCTCCTTGTGATAGCGCGGATCACGTTATAGTATGCGGCAATTGGTAAACAAGTTATTGCAATTACCACAAAATGCTGACCGTTCAGCATTAAATATGTATTGGGAAATTTTGTAAAANGGTAGGTAGGTAGGTAGGTAGGTAGGTAGGTAGGTAGGTAGGTAGGTAGGTAGGTAGGTAGGTAGGTAGGTAGGTAGGTAGGTAGGTAGGTAGGTAGGTAGGTAGGTAGGTAGGTAGGTAGGTAGGTAGGTAGGTAGGTAGGTAGGTAGGTAGGTAGGTAGGTAGGTAGGTAGGTAGGTAGGTAGGTAGGTAGGTAGGTAGGTAGGTAGGTAGGTAGGTAGGTAGGTAGGTAGGTAGGTAGGTAGGTAGGTAGGTAGGTAGGTAGGTAGGTAGGTAGGTAGGTAGGTAGGTAGGTAGGTAGGTAGGTAGGTAGGTAGGTAGGTAGGTAGGTAGGTAGGTAGGTAGGTAGGTAGGTAGGTAGGTAGGTAGGTAGGTAGGTAGGTAGGTAGGTAGGTAGGTAGGTAGGTAGGTAGGTAGGTAGGTAGGTAGGTAGGTAGGTAGGTAGGTAGGTAGGTAGGTAGGTAGGTAGGTAGGTAGGTAGGTAGGTAGGTAGGTAGGTAGGTAGGTAGGTAGGTAGGTAGGTAGGTAGGTAGGTAGGTAGGTAGGTAGGTAGGTAGGTAGGTAGGTAGGTAGGTAGGTAGGTAGGTAGGTAGGTAGGTAGGTAGGTAGGTAGGTAGGTAGGTAGGTAGGTAGGTAGGTAGGTAGGTAGGTAGGTAGGTAGGTAGGTAGGTAGGTAGGTAGGTAGGTAGGTAGGTAGGTAGGTAGGTAGGTAGGTAGGTAGGTAGGTAGGTAGGTAGGTAGGTAGGTAGGTAGGTAGGTAGGTAGGTAGGTAGGTAGGTAGGTAGGTAGGTAGGTAGGTAGGTAGGTAGGTAGGTAGGTAGGTAGGTAGGTAGGTAGGTAGGTAGGTAGGTAGGTAGGTAGGTAGGTAGGTAGGTAGGTAGGTAGGTAGGTAGGTAGGTAGGTAGGTAGGTAGGTAGGTAGGTAGGTAGGTAGGTAGGTAGGTAGGTAGGTAGGTAGGTAGGTAGGTAGGTAGGTAGGTAGGTAGGTAGGTAGGTAGGTAGGTAGGTAGGTAGGTAGGTAGGTAGGTAGGTAGGTAGGTAGGTAGGTAGGTAGGTAGGTAGGTAGGTAGGTAGGTAGGTAGGTAGGTAGGTAGGTAGGTAGGTAGGTAGGTAGGTAGGTAGGTAGGTAGGTAGGTAGGTAGGTAGGTAGGTAGGTAGGTAGGTAGGTAGGTAGGTAGGTAGGTAGGTAGGTAGGTAGGTAGGTAGGTAGGTAGGTAGGTAGGTAGGTAGGTAGGTAGGTAGGTAGGTAGGTAGGTAGGTAGGTAGGTAGGTAGGTAGGTAGGTAGGTAGGTAGGTAGGTAGGTAGGTAGGTAGGTAGGTAGGTAGGTAGGTAGGTAGGTAGGTAGGTAGGTAGGTATTAAATAAATTCGTAGAAGTTGTATTTGCATTGTTAGCCAACCAGCATATTTTACAGTCTATATCTCTCCCATGTGGAATGGTTACCGGACAAAAACACTTTCATTTGTATACAATTATAACAAATGTCGTCTTCAGTGGAAACCAATATTCATTATAAACAGTGTATTGATTAATTGACACAACGTGGTCCTTTGTACACTGCTGATTTAGCATTTACCGCAGCACTCTCTGTTTGCGACATTAAGCTCACTGTTCAATTACATTCCTCATTTGCCGAAATGAGTCGGGTAATTTTCTCACTAATACACTTTCCATCAATCGATTTTACTATATTTGCTTTGTTTTTATCATTGGGTTTGACTCGGAAAAAATGCCTCTGTTTAAAAGTTGATGACTACAAGCTTTTCTCCGAGAACCGTCGTTCGTTCCGTTGATACTTAGTACGATAATGCGATCCTTGAACTTATTCACAAAGGCAAACTGAATGCGTATTCTCTTGCTTGCGTGACCCCATTGTTCCCCTTCATTAGACAATTCAAGCAACCATCATCCAGCAGAATCGGGGTTGTCTCCTACTCTGTTTTTAATTATCAATTTCCAGCCAACAACGGGTAAACTAGTTTTTAAGCTTACCTTCAATGCTAAATGGCTGAAAGACTAGAACAGCTCTAGTGGTTCGTATGCTGTTTTTGACCACTGTATTCTCCTCTTTTTTTTTTATATATTTCGAACTACGATTTTTTCTTTTTGCCAATGATCGATTGATCTTACACCATTAAAAGCAAATTATGTGCGGATTTTTAATTTCACACTTAATTTCAACCTTCAACATACAAAACAGGTTTCATTAGAATTAAACGACATTTAAACAAGTTATTTTGCGGATACTGAAGTGTGGACAGACGTACGGACAATATGTATTTGGTATTTGAAAATCAAATGTTGTACATGCATGCTTAAAACTCCCAATATGTTAAAAGCAAAAAGGATTGCCAATTTCAATTGATTAGATGTTTTAATTTTCTGCATATGCGTTAGAGCTTGAAATCAGATTTATCTCAGTGTAAACCATGCTGAATATGTAGACTGCCTGGCGCTTGTTCATTGCGTTACGCTTACAGATTCAATTAATAGTACATATCTTATTGGAAATTATTTTTATCTCGACACATCTAAAGTAGTATCAGGTGTTCTTCATTCGTTAACTAAACACTGATTCATGCTATAGATTTATCGACTAGCCTCGGAATGCTTTCTCTACATATAATTGTATTTCCAACAACGTCTGTATGGAAGCTTGAATCTACGTTTAGGTGTGTACAATAGCTTAAGACGGGGTATGTTGGTGTAATTGCTTCCTTACGATGGCGTGGATCTTATAATGCCGACTTTATCGTGCTACATCACTGAAATACCTTACCAAAGGAACCAAGCACAGCGTTTCGCCTGGTCACATTGTACTGACAACTGTCCTTATCCTAAATGCTGAACGTGAAGCAGGTTATAACTACTTTTTTTTGGACTCCGGTATATCCTGACTTTGGTATGTCCCGGCCTTGGGACGGAACCCATTTATTTCCTAACCTGTGTGAACTTTCAACATTATTGGATCTGTTTCCAGGCAAGGTCATACAACCAAAGTCTTCAAAGATCACCGTTTTATGTCAATTTTATACATTGCATTGATGAATTTGTTTTGTTTTGCGACAGTCGTCGAATAGTCATTCGGGAACACTGTTAATTAAATGTGTTATGGTATTGTTTGTTAGTTAGTTATTGA